TGTAACTGAGTAGAGGCGAAGCAAAAACTGCCTTGACTTGCTCTCAAACAACCTTTGGTAATTCTAAATCTATTTGGAGTATCAATATCATTCTTTCACCGTAAGAGACAGCAGGCTTTGGTGAACAATCATGGAAATTTTCAGGTCTCTGTGGAAATCCATTAAAAAGATATGATGAGAGAAAAAAGTGCCTCATTTCCAGAGTTTGAAATCTGAAGAAATCTGAGCGAAGGACGAATTTCCTACCCTCAAACAAGTCTAACTCATTTCAGAATGGTAATAGGTGATAAAAGAATTCTTCAATTGTGAGTGTCAGGAGTGTCTGAAGATATACTGGGACAAGCCTTATGTCTTAACTTTGCTTCATTAAGGAGATATGACGATTCGAATATGCCTCTCATTACAGAAATCAAGTGGTGATTTTGAACAAACTCTCCATTGACTTTCTATGGAGAGTTTTGCGACTTTGTGTTGGTCTGAGGAGATTTGCCAAAATTCTATAAATCCCACAACAATGATAGTGACATTTTCGGAAGGCCAGCAAAAATACCTACGTTTTGATGTATAATTTGTGGAAGTTGAGTGAAAATTGAGCAAGTAGCAAGAAGTTGTTCAGACATGAAGAGAAGACTGCAAAACCTTCAGTGGCACACTGGAAGCCAAGTGCATAGCAACCATAACAACGCATGTATTTTGTGAAAAATCACAATTTTGCAACTGAAAACTTTAAGAGGCATAAAAGTAAAACAGTAAATGATTTGAAAAAGCTGATTTATACCTGAATAGCCCAATAATTTGAGAACATTTTAAAGTTTGAATGGTTGTTCTACGTGAAAATATGAGGAAGTAGTTAAGTTTCAAAAACAAGAAAATTTTAGCAGAATTGCAGAAGTTTCCCATTCATTTCAATGTGACAAATTAAGCTTAATATTTTAAAAAGTATAATAGTGAAAAATACCAAAAGACATAGCACACATTAGCAGAAATAGCAGAATAGTTTAGAATTTGAACGGTGAAAATCGGCTGAAAATTGTGGAAGTAGTTAAGTGCCAAAAAGTGTACGGAAGTATCAAGAGGAACTCAATAGTGTGGATGCTTAAAGCATCCACACAATAAAGAGAAACAGGAACTCAATAGTGTGGATGTCTAAGGTATCCACACAATCAAAGACTCAGCAGCACTGAGTCCTGCCGCTCTTAAATCTATTGTCACCTGTTTAGCAATAGGTTTTCCCAGTGCCACAGCGGTCATGTCAGTGGGAGGATCCGGGGGTTTTTTTCTGTGAATTTCACATTCCTGTGGCAGCGAGCTCGGTGCTTGCTCAGATTTAAAGTTTCATTTTTCGTCGTACAAAGAAGTTTTCTTCCCACGCAGAGTGTAAAGTGAACGCTAATGTTTTTGTCACTTTTTATGTAATCAAACTCAGTAATGTCAGTACGTCCATGCTTTAAATGCTGCATGGTCGTACTCGCTCCCACAGTTCGTTTTATCCATTGTTGATCTGCACACATCTGTTGCCTCCACGGGCGTCGCACACTCGTACGTCATTGTCATGAGACACCCACAAACAAAATCACGACGGTTTAGTAACACTGTAATGCAGTGTGCTTACGGGAAAGTAACAGTAATCTTAGGGCTGCTCGATTATGGCAAAAATGATAATCACGATTATTTTCACTGAAATTGAGATCTCGATTATTTGACGATATTTATTTAACCCTTTAAGACCTACTATAGAACCAAGTCCGCCAGAGCTTATATTATTTTTTTACATGTTGTAGTGCCATTTATGGGAGCATTTCAAGTTGCTATACAACTGTTATAGCCCATATTTTAATAATATGTATGCATTAAGTCCATAGTAAGTACATTAATTGCAAAAAAAGTGCAATAAACTACAAAAAAAAATTGAAAATCGTTTTTGTTTGTTTTTTTACATATATTTCTACTTGGAGAAATTTAAGAGGTTATCCCTCAAAACTTTAAATACAAAAAAGTTGCAAAAAAATAGTTTACAACAACAGGAAACTTATTTTGAGTGTCTTCATAGTTTTATTTTGGAGATACACCAATTTTTATATACTGCAGGAAAAAAAAAAAACAAAAAACAATCCTATGATGCAAATTTGCAAAGAAAACAGCAGGTGCATCAAAATAAACTATTTCCAGCAGTGCAATTCGAGTTCTAAGCATCCCAGAAACTATTCAGAAAAGTCAAACATGACCAGTATAGGCTTTTAAGGCCTACAAGTAAAAAACTACATTTCCGCGAAAATGACGTCACTTCTGGTTTCGGGCAGGAAATGGCGTACATGCGATAGTTCGCGCTGACATCTGTTTCACTGTGGGAAGTGTTACGAACAGCTGATTGGATCGGCAAGACGTGTTTCTGGAATATTATGTTCTTGTTCCTGCAAGCGCTTTTTATGCAATTTTTGCAAAGCTATATGTGGAACGAAACCGTGACCGAGGACAAGCTGATGGCATCAGATGTAAGTACAACTCCTCCGGTTTTGTATGCAAAACAAATTATTGCGCTAGCTTACACGGTTCAGGTTCTACAGGGATTTAAAAATAGTTACACAAAACGGAGCGTGCTGCTCTGACCGGCTTTAAAGGGTTAACAATGACTTTAAAAAAGAATATAAAATAGTGTGCAACACCACTGAAGTTTTTTTTTTTACCTCTCTTTTCAACCAACGGCAGTCACTCTCCTCTCCAAATAACTTCTGCTTAGCTTTCCGAGCTTCCCTCGGGTCCTCTTAATCAGCGGTCTCCAACCTTTTTTGCGCCACGGACCGGTTTATGCCCGACAATATTTTCATGGACCGGCCTTTAAGGTGTCGCGGATAAATGAGGGAGGGGCTAATAATCGGCTCAGTCATTTTTAATGATCGTTGAAAGCCCAGATCGTAATCGTGATTAAAATTCGATTAATTGAGCAGCCCTAAGTAATCTAATTACTTTTTTTGCAATAGTAATCCCTTACTTTACTCGTTACTTGAATTAAAGTAATTGGATTACAGTAACAGATTACTTTAACATGTTACTGCCCATCTCTGGTGGTATGTGCTTGTAGTTCTTTTGTATAATTTTATTTTAGTTTTGTAGTCATTTTGTACCTCTTTGTAGTAATTTGTTTTTATTTTGTAATTTGTAGGTTTTTGTTGTTGTTTTATTACCTTTCCCCCCTTTTTAGACACTTTCACTTGTTTTATTTGTTTGTTTTTTGCATAATTTCGAGTTTCATTTCGTATCAATTTGCAGTTGTTTGGGTCCTCTTGAAGTCATTTTGTGTGTTTGTGTTTTCCATTCTTTCCAGTAATTTTGCTTTTGTTGTAGTTGTTTGAGCCTTTGTAGTTTTCTATAATTCTGTCTTCTGCTACTTTTACGTTTTTGTAATATTCTGATCTTTTGCCTCTTTGTAACCAAATAATTAGATCAGAATGGTTATTTGTTTTGTTTCATTTTGTAGTAACTTTGTATATAATTGAGTTAGTTATTCTGTTGTTTTGGATCCCATTTTGCATGCCCTTTGTAGTGGTTTTTTTTTTTTGCTCTTTGCTTGTTTTTAGTCAATGTGAATGCCTTTGTAATTTCTACAATTTTGTTTCGTTTGATCTTTCCAGTAACTTTGCTTGTTCCTTTAGTTTTTCTGATCATTATGCTTATTTAAAAATTGATTTCCAACCTTTTGTAGTTTATTTGTTCTTTTTGTAGTAACTGTCTTTGTAATTTTGTCCGTCACTTGGTTTGTTCTTGAAGTTGTTATCTTTATAGTCACTTTGTCTGTTTGTGGTTGCTTTGTGGTCATTCTGCATATATTTGCAGTCAGTGTTTGTAGTGGTTTGAGTCATTTTCTAATGTGAAGTGTGAACAATAACATTCATCAGAGGCACAGGGTTCAGAGGCCCAATTACAGGTTTGAAGCCCAGAAGACCTCGTTCCTGATGCAAACGTCCTTGAGATTTCCACTAATGCTTCCTTTTTTGGCCTGCTACTGTTTCTGACCTCCATCATGAAAGTCACACATGCTTAATATATTCAAAAATGCTGGTACCTAATTACACTTTATGCATAATGAGGAGGGTGGGTGCGATGAAAGGCCAGAGTCGGAACCATTTCAGGAAAAATAATTCATGCCGTCTGCTTGTTGACTCATTCTGTTCTACCACAATAACTCCAGCCCCCACCCCAATGATGGCTAATTGTTCAAGATGTGCTATCAGAGGGGTAGGAGAGAGGTCTGGGTGTTACCAGGCGGTGGCCTCTCTTCTGCTCGTCTTTGATGAAGGGTTCTTTTGTTGGAAATGTAATTCCTTCGCCCGCATGGTTGTTTTCATTGTATTCAAGAGCTTCCCTTAACGACGCCCAACGTTGCAGCTTGCCAACCTCTTCCACTACGTTTCTATGGTAACAAGTAAGAGTGAGTGCGTCTGGGAGATGACTGATTGTGTTTGTGTGTGTTTATTACGGTGATGTGGCTTATTTTTACATAATGAATCAATTATTGAGGCTGTGCAGCAAGCTCGTCTGAATAATTGCAAACCAAAAAAAGAAACAAAAAACCTTCTACACATAACATGTAATGCGTACTTCCTTGGAAAAGGTGCAACACTGTGTTGTAACACTCTGTATGTGTGTGGACGGGAGATGATGTATAATGGGACATCCAACTGATATCATTCGCCTGTCAATCTGCACCCTGCTCGCCAAACCCAGCCTCCATAATTGCTTTATTGAGGCGAGTCATGGCAGCTACAGTGTCTCTATTTATACACAGCCCACAGTATAGATGAAAGTACTCTACCGCCCCCTGCTGCCCAATGCAGGCCTTGCATTCCCGTAAAACGAGGGTTCATGGACACGAAGTAGTAAAATCCTAAAGACAAAGAAATGTAGAACAGATGTCACTGTAGTAAATTCTCAAATACTAATAATGCTTAAAAATGCTAATAATAAAAAACTTAATAATCATCAAGAAAATCCACACAGACAAATCAGTTTTGTTTTAATTTAATTTCACATAATATGTGACTAAATGATTTGGTCATGTGAGACAGGCTGACATCTGTCGATGTTTGTCTATGTTTTGTCTTTAATTAAGATGTGAAGAGGGGTAACTAAGACTTATCCCCACTGCTATGAGAAGAGAGTCTGGATTGCTGTTTAAAGGCTTAATTATTAACCCATCCATAAACAAAGGGGAAGCTTCACCATAGAAACAGAGAGAAAAAGCAAAAACACAAATTATACAGTACTGATGAAATATCGCATCAGTACTGTATAATTTATTTCTATAGTTCTAATCATTAGCTGCTCAAATGAAAACTCGCAGTGTCAGTATCAAACAACAATCAGTGCATCTGTAACAATAACAAGATAAATATAGATTTCAGTGTTGGGAAGGGTTTGCGAAGAGAAAACTACTCCCCCTTGTGGTCAGTGATTAAACTACATCCGTTCATGATTCCTACTAGATTGCCTGAAATTTACAAGAGTGTCTTTGAATTTAATTATTCCTTCTTTTATTTTCTTATTGAACAGCAGACTAGGGACTGAGGGGCTGATGGCTTTAATGCAGGAGTCCTCAAATATGTAAAGAACATCTTCAAACTGGAAACTGAAAACACCACAGATCTGATTTATTAGGTATTTATCCGACAGCCCCACCTCATGGTAAAATATCTTATGAACTCTTAAGATTGATTGCTAAAACTCAAACAAAGTTTTCAGTTTCTGGATGGCTTTCTGGACTCCTGAGGTCACCTTGGAACGTTGCTGCTCAGTCAACGATATTTGCATGAGGTCAGTTTCTACAACATACCTGACAGATAAGTCAGTGCCCGCAAAGCATCTGCCCAACTCCTTCTTGTGAAATGTTTTGATGTATCTGAATATGTAAGAGTCAACCCAGATATCATCCTGACCTTCCGGAGAGACTCCACACGCCACTGCGGGACCTTCAGTATATCTCTCCGAGGTTTTTGAGACATCTTTAAATTCAGTCTGGAGCTTACTTCTCACTGCTGAGCTGCTTGGATTCTTCAAACAGCCCATGCTGCTCTGGTGAGACCCCAAATCACCCTCTCTTCTAATCTCTGTGGCTGAAATCTTGCCTGCTCTGGGATGTTTTTGTGAGGCACTGTCATTATAAGGCTCTGTTGTTGATATTGCGATATACTGGTTGAGGAAGGCCCGATAAGGAAGATGCTTTGATTTCCTTCTCGACCACTTGTATGTAGTTGGCCTTTCTTTGTTCTGTTGGCTGACCTTCCAGTTTGTCCTTTCCATTGATGCGTGCTTTCAAAATCCTCCCTGGAGCCAAACTCTCAGAGGAAACTTTTTGCCTCAAGGAGGCATTTTGAGTCTTTGAGAGAAGTCTTTGGATTTCATTTGCCTTACCTGGGCTCTGTGTTGATAATGTTGATAAGCTGCTTGCGGGTTCCCTCTTAGAGCTGCTGTGGCTTACAGAGTCGACATACTTGTGATGAGATATTAACCTCGTATTATGACCAGTTTCTCTTGGGTTAATACCAGCAGTTTGGACTGTGACTGCAGATTGAAGCTCATCGGCTCTGCGAATGAGGTCCCCTCTCAGGGCTTGGACAGCTGCAAAAGGCCCCTCAATGAAGACTTTCCTCTCCTGGGGCACAGGATGAAAACGCAGCGATCTGTGAGCTGACCGCAGGCTCTCAATCACCAAGTCCCGATTGCCGCCGAATATAGAAAGATCAACCGTAGCGCTTGGGACGTAGAAAAACACCTGCACCACAGAAACGTGCTTGAATTAGAAACTTTTATTTTGCAATCAAAAGCTTATCAAAAGCAAGTGACTTAAGTAGGCATGGTGTTTTAAAATCACACTGATACTTACATCTGTGCTGAAGGGAAACACAGTGAGGACGAAGTCTTCAGGAAACTGGCTGTCTGTCATAATATGCTGCTTCTTTTCCACCACCCTCGCTGCATCTGCCAAAAGTTAGCACAGTTCTGCTGTGGTCTCTACCCAGGTCATTGTTATAATGATGCCTCATGAACCCACAAAGCTAGCACACTTTTTTTGTCACTCAGAGTGCACAGAGCTTGACTCGACTCATTATCTACCAGTCTAATGTTAGCTTTTATATAACAGTACATCACTTTGATAATATCAGATTAATCCATTCATCAGTTAGGCACACATCCAAGCTGCAGATCATACAAAAATCAAATGTTTCATTCATACATTACCCTTTCCACTCAGCATAATGTAAAAGTGGTTCTCAGGGGAAACTGAAATTGGTTCCCGTGGGTACCAATTATAGTGAAAAATAGCAGATATGTTTGACAATGACGAAACAGTTTGTGTAAGCCCTTTAGGTATTTGCAATTCCACATGGATAAGGTGGCCTTAGAGTGTGTCTGTCATTTATTATTACATTCACAGAGCTCCGGAAATAAGTCTCCTATTTTAAAAAAAACAGAATATGTTCAAACTCATAAAGCAGACTGTATTGTCTGACTAAGGTAACTGGAACACTGCACCAATCAGGGAGCACTATTTTAATTTCTAATAATCCCATTGTACAATAAACAATACACCCGGCTTTAGAGTTAAACAACAGGCTGTATGTTATGCAGCAATGATAATGTGTCTGAACTGAAATAAACTTCATATTTTTGATAGAAGACAGTACATACAGATTCAACTGTACGTTGTTTTTAGGCCTTTATTGTAGTAAAATATCTGTATACATGAGTGTTGTCACAACACTGAAGTTTTAAGATGTTGTTTGCTACATTGTTTTTTATTTTAGAACTGTGAACACAAAAATCATAAATTGAAGAAAACAGACTGCTTTTCTTTTCTTTTTCTATTTTTTGAAGAGTTGGGCCGAATCTAAAGTGCTTCAGAGACAGGCACATTTACATGCGGTGACTTATTGTGAAAAGTAAAAATCACAGTAAGCGGTCATTAAAAAGTGTTCATTGTTTACAAACTGATGAGTCATCTCATAAATCATCATACAGCCTGTATAGGCTGAAAGTGTCGGCGATACTGGCCCTGGGTTTACTTGGAAACGGACTGAAATCAAAATTTGAAGTATTGCAGTAACATTTAGCTTAAATTAGCGAAGAGTGGACAACTTTTTAGAGCAGCTTTTTGGGCAACTTCATTTAACTCACTGAGCGCTGGAAGAACTGCTCATACGCAGATTAGCTTTTGTTGGTTGGAAGGGGACACCCTCAAAAACTGCTTGTTGTCATTAATGTATTTATTGAAGGACGCACAGCTTTACATACTATCAGTAGCGACATGTTAGCCTATAGCCTGCCTTTAGCCACCACCTGCTAATTTACCTTCTTCGTTTTCAAAAGTGACAAACGCAACTCCGTCCATGTTGGTGGGATATTTGACCTTTTCGACGTCTCCTCCATCACTCTTCCGGGTGCTTTGGAAGTGAATGGTCAGCTTATCAGTTATCCTGCCGGGGGGCAACACATTGGGAACACCGGAGACAACCACCGTCCTGCTGTTCTCCCAGGAGTCGGTCTCCATTACCCTTTTGTTATGCTACATTAGCACTGAAGCGTCGACATAACGGTTAGATACTCCCGCGTTTTTCGGCCACACTAAACACGCCTGTCATTAATATGTAACCACTAAACCAGTTTTCTGTTAGTTTCACTTTCACTCGTTAATTCCATAGTGTTCATAATGCAGTAACGAACTTTGCCCACTAGGTGTCTCTGTTTCACTACATCCCAGGCTGAGAGGAGCGTTCGTTCAAAATGGCTCATTCATGCAGCTGGAAATGAGGCTGCAGAGCAGAGCAAACATCTCCGCAGTGCCCAAAAGGCACAGATACAAACCTCATGGCAACATCTTCCACAGAGTTGCCTCATCTGTTGCTCTTCTCTCCCATACCGAAGCGACATCTTGCTCCCAAGGAAACATTTCAATTAGACCTTGAAATTGCTGACTGCAGCTAACTAGTGGAAAAAGTCAACACTTGTGGTGCAAACATTTATTAGAATCTAATTTTTAAAAAATGAAAGAAAAGAAGAAGAAAAGCCACGCCATACACAGAACACCTCTCATGAGTCACACAAACAGAAATCCAAACAAATTAAGCCAAGTAGTGACAAACTCGATTGTATTATTCTTGTGCATATAAACATTTTAATATATAAAACAAAGTGGCCTGGTCGAGTGCAAACAAACAGGTATTAAGGGTTAATAAAAGAAAAACCCAGGCTCTGTCCGATACCAGTCAAATCTCCACCTCTGATCATCACTTCAGTGCAAATGCAACATTCACGGTGTTTAATGGTGACTTTAAATAATTCAGGTAGTTTATCTGTGATTCAGTGTTTCTTCTACAAATGCTGCTACGTGCCGTTCTAGAACCTTTAAACACCCAACGTGACACATTCAGTTCAATTTAAACATAATTATATCATCTAATTTTCAAAAAGTGGCAAGAAAAAAAAATAAATTTGGTATTAAAACAGCCGCAGTAGACACACTAATGTGATAGCTGGCAAACAAACCCCAAAAGTCTCCAAACACTTTGACTTCAGAACAGCAAACTCGAGTTTAAGAATAGAAGTGGGGCGCTGAGCGGAGCTCTGCAGCTACGGACAAATGTTACAAACTGGTGCTCGGTTTCCACCCTGCACAGACCTGTTGGCCGAAAAAAAGGGAAAAAAGCTAAAAGAAACTAAAACAAAATAAAAATGAACATTCATTCTTCAGACATTTGATGTTTCGATTTGGACAGCGTCTGGGAGACAGTCCAGACTGAGGCAGCAGAGGCAGGTGGTTGGATGTGCGTTCCATGTGTGCCGCTCTGAGATCTTAGCAGCTATGAGCCAGTCCTGTCTGAGTCGCACAGCTCCCCTTTGTGTCCGCTGCCGGTTCTGAGTTTAAAGGCGGCTCGGGGGCCTGTGGGGCGGAACACGGCGCTCGGGGTGGTGTGTCTGGAGGGGAGCATGGCAAAGATAGGGCGCGACGAGGCCAGGTCTCTGCCGGGAGCGCCTCGGGTCGAGTTACACAACCGTGGCTGCTGGTCCGACAGCCGGCGGATCGATTCGCCCCCTTTGTACATCTCTGCCAGGAGGTGGTGGGAGTCTGTACAGCTGATCCCCTCCGGAGGATGTGTCACGTCCAGAATCTGACTGCTCACTGCAGACGCACACAGACAGACAGCGCTGTGAGCAGTGGAGCCAATAAATAAAACAACTGTCATGGGTGAGCAGAGGGGGGGAAACAAACAAAAAAACGACAACAACATCAGACCTGCACCATCGGGAGGCTTCAAATAAAATGCTGCTGTCAGCTTTAAATCTTTGAGTTGGAAGGACAAACAGATCTATGCGTCTGGTTATAATTTACTGGATTTTTTTTTTTTTTACATTTTCTTTAAAAAGAAAAGGTCCATCTCTCAGTCTTAATTCCTCTGTAAAAGAAGCTGCGTATGAGCCCCAGTCCTTGTTGATTGCCCCTAGTGGGATTGTTGACTAAAGCGCCTGAATAATGAAGGGGAAAAAAAAATCTCAGCACCTGCAAAAAATACAGCGTGATATTTGAAATAATCAGCACATTTGTGTCAGTGTTAATACTGCCAGGACTGCAGGTTCCACTGCCAGGTGTGATTTCTGCCCCGTCTGGAAATTATTTCTGCTTACATTCACAAACAGACGCTTTCTCCACAGATACGGAGCACAGCAAGCAGATTTTGACAGAATAAAAAAGGTGATGTTACTCCACTTAATCTGGCAAAGAGACTACACAGCAGCTGGATTTATCTGGTGATGAATCTCAGCACGAGTTTCTGATAAACACCTAAAGGCTGACATTCCAGCCAGCGTGCGTGTTTTTACAAACTGCTGGCCTGAATTTGAAAAGAAAAAAACCCAAAACACTACATAATATTCTGGACTAGGATTTGGAGCTTCTTCTGTGTTGAAGAGGTCAAATCTCGGTCAGAACCTGCCGCTAACTCGAGGTTCACTAAGCTTAAGCCTCCCTCTGGTCTTCCTATTACCTGCTTCACCTACACTGAGATCTGAAGAGACTGATTTTCTGCCGGCCTTCCTCCCATGACTGCCACGCCAAACCCCCAGAGGAACCTGAGGAGACAGAAGATGCCAGTAAGGTAGGTGTGCTTGTGGGCGGCAGGACAAGGAAAAAGAAGTCAAAAGTGGAAAACCAGTACTACCTGATGTTTGGCCATCATGTGTGCAGTGTGGATAAACGGAGGTCTGATGGAGGGTTTGTACTGCAAAGGCTGGCCCAGTAAAGAGTAGTGCGCTTCACCTGGTAATCAGAGTCAAAACAACCTTTTCAAATATCAGTTTGCAGTCATTTAAATCGCTTTAGAACCTAACTGCAGCTACATAGACAGTAGCTAACTAAAGTACTCGACAATCAATGATTAAAATATAAACTCCAAGTATAGCTGCCAGTTTAAACAAATGATATATGACATTTATTGAATCCTGTGTGCTAGAACCTGTTTAAAAACACGCACGCTTTAACATTGTTCATGGCAAGCAGGAAGTTGGGAAGTTAGCTACTGCTGAAACTACTTTGCAGCATGCTTTTCAAGCAATTTAGTGCAATTTGTCCCTTAATGTTAAATCTTAGGTTAGACATCTTTTACAAGCACAGCTGAAGTTACTGTTGTATTAAAAGTTGCTGCACAGACCCTCAAGTGTTCTCCAATGCACTGACTCCTTCATTTAGCATCAGGAAATGATGCCCCTCAGCAGGATTAGTTTAAAACACATGATCATGCTCTTCACTCCAATCTTAAAACCTCAGGAATATCAGTACATAAGCAAAGGCTTGTGAATATGGAAGAAGGTTTCATTCATCCAGATAAGAGATGCTTCAACTGTACATTTTTTGATGTTGAATGCATTCGTGCGCCATTGAACTGCACAGTCACTGAGTTTTGAGGATGCCATGTTTGTAAGCATGTACTGCAATACTACTGCGCGTCTCTGACCTTGTCCACTGTGGCAGAAGGCTGTAGGGAGCTGCGGGTGGTGGGCCATGACAGGAATGGGTGAGATGCCTGTTGGGAGGCCCTTGACGCTGGGCGGCTGGCCTGGCGAGGGAGTGAGTGCCGGAGACGAGGGCAGGCTGCTCTACATACAACACACCGATGATGCAGAGAGGGGAAACCGGGAGGAAACACAAACACTTTCATTCAAAAAAAAGAAAAAGAAAAAAGCAACTGTGGCCATTTCTTCCTTTCACAAAGTCATTCTGTGGTTCAAGTCATTGCTTTAATGTTCCATTCTATCCACATTAGTCCCACTAATGTACCATTACACCCTAATGCCGAGGACTATTTTCTCCTCATTTTCAGGTTTCGGCAGCACTCACTTCATTTGCAGAGCCTATTTACTACGACATTTAACCTGCCTGGAACAGCAGGCAAGCTGAGTCTGGCTCAAGGCGACAATTCTCACGCAACTGTCAGACGCGTACAAACAAACTAAATTGGCTTTCAAATTGCTTTCTTGTGACCGTCTTAACTTTCTGACACGTAAAGTATGGTCCTATGTAGAAAACATCAGCTGAACAAATTTACAACTGAATTCAAAATTATTTGGAAGTTGCTCCCGTCAAATGAAAACCTCTGGGTCGCCGAGCTAATTAAATGGTTTCAAAGGAGAAACTACGGTCTGAAAGGCACCGCTGTTCTTCTGTGATTGCCTGATGGATGCGCCTGGGCAGCGTTTGTACCTGGGTGTTGTCCGGAAGCGGAGGGAGCTCGGCGGGCCTGCGGTTGCGTTGGTGCTCGGGGCCCAAGTGTTTGTGGCTGAGTGGTTTCCTCTGGCAGGGGGAGGGGGCCCGGGGCTGCTGGCAGGGGGCTGCTGTCATTTGCAGCATCACCATGCCGCTGCTGGGGGCCGGGGGTAACAACCCTGCAAGCAGACAGAAATGGAAAGGTTGAAGCAGTGTTTGTGTCGGCAAGAGGCAAATCAGGTCAGCAAAAAAAAAATAAAAATCCACTTATTTAATTCGTCACATCAGCTCATCATTTATGCACCAAAGTAAATGTGTTTTTGCCCCAAAGCTGCGTTTCAGCACTTTTGTTCAGCTACACACCTCATCAGGGAAAACACTGCTCCTACACCGTTAGCCTCTCAGCAATTACGTCTTAGAGCCTCGACTATAAGGGCACATTGGAATTGGCAATCAGAGAGTCCATTCCCTATTCCTGCTAAATCCTCTGCAATGATCCAGGAAATCCAATTATGTAATTATTTTGTGGCACATGAACATGACTTTTAAAACAAAACAAAACAAAACAAAATTAATAAAATAAATCAGTGCCCCGAACATACATTATACCTCCATCTAATTAACTTCTGTTTACATGAAGCTCATATGAGGCGCAAATCATACACAAACTTTGCACAGCTGATGCTGGTGTCCATTTAGGAAATAAAACCTCGTAACACTAGCAAGGACGATGGGTATTTAGACTTAATTTGTAGATTATTTCTGGCCCCGGCCTAGCCAATTAAAAGTGTTTACTGGTCACGCTGTAGGTAAGGCCGTCGTGAGACCTTCATCCGACCTCATTACTGGAAGAGCTAGAAATGATGGCTCCCCCTCCACTGTGCTCCCATAATAATCAGACATGAATAATAAAGGTCATTAGTAAGGAGACTGCCCCACCTGGGCCTCTGGACAGCAATTCATGTCCAAAGAGACGGAAAAGAGAAATGAAAAAATGCGTTATTGTAGCTTTGTAAGGCACGAGTCCATTTTATCTTTATTTACCTTTTAATGTGCTAAGGTAAACTGGGAGACAAATTCCCAGGGTTTTTAGAAGTAGAATGGGAGGCAGAGCCTTCAGCTTTCATGTCGCTCTTCTGTGGAACCAGTT